CACACAGTCGCGGCAGGGGAAGGGGGAGGGGCCGGAGCCAGCAGACCTGATGTGACCCGGACAGGGCACTCCTGGGCCTCAGTCTCTTCTACACAATATGCGCCTGAGGAGATGGGGGGCAGGGAAGGGGCCATGGCTTCTAAGACCCCCACCCCTCAGTCCCCATCTCACTCCTCCAAAGCCCATGCTCTCTCCACTGCCCCATGAGGGACGGAAGTTGGGAAAGGTAAACACCAAATAAGAGGAATTCACTTAAAAGTTAAAAGAGAGATTTTTAAATTGAATTTTAACAACTTTCTATGTTTATTGGTAAGTTGAAACACTAGATTGGGAAGATGATAGTCCTGGACATTTTTGTTACGTATTTTACTTTTGGTGAACCAAAATTATTTTTATTTTTATTTTTCGCTACTTATTTATTTACTTTTAAATTTTATTTTATTTCGGCATATTATGGGGGTACAAATTTTAAGGTTTCAAAACATGCCCTTTTCCTCCCTCCCCCCACAAAATTATTTTTAAAGTATTTTATAGGTATTGCCAATATACCCTCCATGAAGGCTGTGCCAGTTTGCTGTCCTACCAGTTTCTACACACTCTTGCCAACACAGTTATCAAACGTTTTAGCATTTAATTTGGTAAGTATAAAAGCAATATCTCATTGTAGTTTTAATTTACATTTTTCTTATTATGAGTGGGGTTAAGCATCTTTTCACATGTTTAAGAGGTGTTTCCTGTTATGTTCATGTTCTTTGCTCATTTTTCTATTGGGTTGACCTTTTATGCATTGATTTATAACTACTCTTTATATATTAAGGAAACTAGTCCATTGTCTGATTATGCCACAAAAATTTTTGCATAGCTGGTTTAAAATTTTTTCTTTATGGTGTTTTATTCATGCAGAAATTTAAAAAATGTGTTGTAAAATTTTTTTCATTTTTTTAAATCTTATAGGCTCTAAGTTCAAGTATATTAGAAAGGTCTATATGTACTCCAAAATTATATAAAAAATTTTTAATGTGTTTCTTCTAGGTTCTTTTCTTTACATTGTATGCATATGTCAAGTTTATCCATTTTCCCATTCATGATGTTTTGTTTCCAAGTTTTTGCTGTTGATGTGATGAACATGTATATAAGTCTTGGTGTAACTTGGTGGGTTTCACTGTAGGGCAGGCGTCCTCAAACTAAGGCCCTCGGGCCACATGCAGGTGTTTTTGCCCATTTGTTTTTTTACTTCAAAATAAGATATGTGCAGTGCGCATAGGAATTTGTTCATAGTTTTTTTTAAACAACAGTCCAGCCCTCCAACGGTCTGAGGGACAGTGAACTGGGCCCCCCCCCCTTTAAAAAGTTTGAGGACCCCTGCTGTAGGGCATTGTCTCAGGTTGGCTTGTCTAGGGAATGCATTTGGAGGTTTACCTGCAGGATACTTCCTGGGGAATGCTCTTTGGAACGACTCCTGTAAGGAACTGAAGGAAGCAGGATTGAGTAGAGGGAGGAGTTAAACTGCAACATAGTTACAAGAGAAGCCTCAGCTCTGAAGCTAGGACCACCCTTCCAGTTGTCCCAAACTGGGCAAGAAGGCTTGGCCTCCATACTCCCATGCTGGATGCAGGCTGCCCTGCGGAGGGGTGTGCGTGCCACCGGGTGAGGCAGCCTCCTGGGGTGAGGGCAGTGCCCTGAGAGGGGCTCAGCTGTGAGCTCAGCTCCCTAGATGTGGCAATGAGTGCCTGGGTCCTGAGGTGGCAGCTGGGCGGTGCCCCACAGCACCCACAGGTGCATCTTTTTTTTTTTTGAGACAGAGTCTCGCTTTGTTGCCCAGGCTAGAGTGAGTGTCAGGGCGTCAGCCTCGTTCACAGCAACCTCAATCTTCTGGGCTCAAGCGATCCTACTGTCTCAGCCTCCCGAGTAGCTGGGACTACAGGCATGTGCCACCATGCCCGGCTAACTTTTTCTATATATATTAGTTGGCCAATTAATTTCTTTCTATTTCTAGTACAGACGGTCTTGCTCTTGCTCAGGCTGGTTTCGAACTCCTGACCTAGAGCAATCTGCCTGCCTTGGCCTCCCAGAGTGCTAGGATTACAGGTGTGAGCCACCGCACCTGGCCTACAGGTGCATCTTAATAGGGAAATGCAGGGCGACAGTGTGGGCATCTTTGCTAGATTTTGCCCAGTTGTTTTCCAAATTGATTGGACAGGACCAACGTTTCCCTTCCACAGTGTGTGAGATTGTCACCGCCTTCTTCCGTTCCACGGTTTCTATGTTGTGGCCTCCCTGTGCTATTTTCTGGATTTCTACAGAACCTTCTTGAGGTGCAAAAATGGTCTCTGCCTGTGTCTACTCTGTTTTTTAATTCATTGAGGGTTACCTTTTCTTTTTATAGATGTTCCAGGCACTCCTTTTAAAATGTTTTTCTTTTCTCTTTTAAAAAGCAAATTATTCCTTTCTTATGTTTTGATTTCTTAATAATATAAAACATTTATTTCCTATACAGTAGTCAATAGTTACGTATTTTTCGAAGTTCTGGGCTCCAATTTCACTGGTTATGTCCATTTATTTCATGCAAGCTTGTTTCTTCCTATCTGTAATTTTGCAGGAGTCCTGTACTGGCTGTAACTGGCTTCCAGAAAGGTTTCTCAGGGATACCAGCAGCCCAGGACCCCTCCCCCCACCTTTTAAAAAAAAAAAAAAACTCTATTTCGGAATAGTTTTAGGTTTATAGAACTATTGCAAAGGTAGTATCTTTTCATTCTCTTAAGATTGCCTTCTTTTTTATGCTTGATTCATTTGTCCTGAGCATCATTAAAAAGAGGCTAGGTGACAAACTATTGTCCCTAAGGCTTTGCTCATGGGGTCAAAGCAGGGATCCAGGCTGTGGATGAAATTCTGGCCAAGCCCCTTCCTAGCTGAGTGACCGCAGGCACGCTCCCTGGCCTCTCACGTGCTTCCTTGCCTGTAAGATGGCAGGTGGTAATTTTTACCTTAGATGGTAAAGATTTGGAGGTGATGCATGGCACACAATAGCTGCTTAATAAAGAATAGCGATTAGTGATAGTAATAACAAGCACCAGAGTGACACGATGCCCTTTGCAGAAACCAGTTAACAACTGAAAGATGGTCCTTAGCTTCAGGTCTCTGAACTGAGTGAGATCTATTAAATAGTTATTTGTTTATTTATTTTTTTGAGACAGAGACTCACTCAGTTGCCTGGGCTAGAGTGCCGTGGCGTCAGCCTAGCTCACAGCAACCTCAAACTCCTGGGCTCAAGCGATCCTCCTGCCTCAGCCTCCCGAGTAGCTGGGACTACAGGCATGTGCCACCATGCCCGGCTAATTTTTTCTATATATATTTTTAGTTGGCCAATTAATTTCTTTCTATTTTTAGTAGAGATGGGGCCTTGCTCTTGCTCAGGCTGGTTTCAAACTCCTGACCTTGGAGGAGGCAATCCTCCCGCCTCGGCCTCCCAGAGTGCTAGGATTATAGCCGTGAGCCACCGCGTCCGGCCCCCTAAATAGTTATTTGATATCTTATAGTTTTACCTCTTCAGTGCTGGGAAGAGGATGGGCCTTCAACTGAGTCATAGCCTTTCACTATTTTTCTCCCATTTGATGGTGTGGGAAAGGATACAGAGATGAGAAAAATAAAGTAAACCAGAAGATTCCATTACAAGCACAGCTCCCAGTATCAGAGATGCCCCTGTTCCAAGCATTCCTTCTCTGTCTCCTGTTCTTTCCTCCTGTTCCCCGGGGGCAGTCATCTGGCCGAGATGAACCACAGTAGGACCTGGGAGTTCAGATTGCTCTGCCCAGCTGACCAGCAAGGAGAGAAAACAGGGAGGCAAGTGTCAGGTGTGACCTGACCATAAGCTGAGAGCCCGTCGTGGGATCCTTCACCTTGGGGCTGCTGTTTGTACTAGTGCTAGTGGTTTGCTCGCTGGCTCTTGGCTCATTCCCACCCTTCCGTACGCTCCTCTGTATTGCAGGGGCGAGGAGTCTGCACACTGCACCTCCTGGATTGCCTGACAGTCCCCACTCTCCAACGGGAGGTTTAGGCGACAGACTGAAAGACAGGAAAGGACTCCACCCACATCTGGTTGGAGCAGCTGAGTTCGGGCTGCAGGCTTCTTGCTTAAGCGGCAAGGGTCCGGGGCAGCAGGACGGTGGCCGGGGCACTCCAGCAGTCCCTTACGCACAGTCGCTTTGTGACTCTGGCTCTGCGGTCAAGGCAGCAGGTGACTTCAGGCTCCCAGGTTTCTGCATGTCAGCGCGAGTTCTAGCAGGGTGGCCCCGGATGACACTATTTGCCGGTCTAGGCCTGGGAGCGAGATGGGCTTCCCGCACTCGCTCCTCTCCAGATGACCTCAGTCCCCGCTGGTCCTTCAGTGCTCTCAGTGCTTTTGTAACGATTCCCCGCAGTCAATTTCCCACTTGGAAAAATTTCGCAGGTTTTGTTTTCCTGACTAGACAAACACACAGCCCGTTACAGACCCTGACCCGCCTCACACTGCGGACAAACCCTTGCCGCGGGGCTGGGCTCCGCGGAGCCTGCGAAGATGGCAGCCCTGAAAGTGAAGGACACCGTGGTGTCAGCTAAGGAGAGGGAAGCCTGACCTCTTGTGGGGGTGACAAGTGGCTCTGGTGACTGGGTCCTGCATACCGGACAACGCCTGCCCAAGGCACGCTGCTACCTCTGGGGGCCTTCCGTGTCCCTCCCAGACCCCTGCACACTCCGCCCATGAGCGCCAGAGCACCACAGCCTTTTCCCAGTGTGCGTGTCCCTCCTCCCCTCCTCCCTCAAGTTCTCTCCACGTGGGATAGAACCTTCTCAGTCCTCTGCAGCCCCTGCTGGCGGCCACGCCTGAGCAGAGCAGCTGAGGGAAGGACCCAGGACCCCAGAGGCTCCCGGCCCGTCCCCTGTCCCCTGCGTGCACCAATGAGGAGGGGGAGGGATCCAGTCAGCCCCAGGAAGAACATGCAAAGCACGGAATCAGCCGAAAATCAACTCTTAAATACTTAATTCCCATTTATTTAAAGTCTCGTCAGTCTGTGTACACTATTTATATTAAAAACACAGGAAGCTCTGGCTCCTAGCAAAAATATACATTTCAGTTTTGGAGATTGTTCAGACACTGAGAAGAGCTGTATCCTCAGCACCAGACCTGGGGGGAGGGCAGGCACAGCAGCTCTCCCCTCACAGCCGGCCTGAAGGAAGCGCCCAACCGAGCCCCTGCCCGGCCAGGAGAGTGATCCTGGCCACGGAAGGCCACAGCGCTGGAGGCGCGGCCGCAGGGGATTTCCTCCCAGGGCCGCGGTCGGGTGGAACCGCTCCGTGGGAGGAAGGAGCAGGCAGGCCCCGGGTCTCCCACCACCGTGCTCCGAGTCCCCGGCCAGTCCCTCTGCCCGCAGCCTGGGCAGGCTCAGACGAGGCACTCCAGGTTGTGCCGGCCTCTGCTTTGAGACGGGTGCACCTCCACCTGGGAGCAGGGGAGGATGGGGCCAGAGCCGTGGAACCGAGCTCCGCAAGGTCCCTGGTCACCGAGGCTGTGTGGGGAGGATTTCAGGTGACCAGCTGGCTGAACACAGGCAAGGGGAGGGCAGCAGAGCTGTGGGGACAAAGGATGTCAGAATGAACAGGATCGGTTTGTCCCTGGCAGCTCCCGCTGTGAGTGGGTGCCAGGCGGCTCGACAGGACACCCAGGCCCACCCAGAGACCCAGCCCAGCCCCGGGCAGAGGGGTGCGGCTCTGCCTGCCCACCTGCAGGCCTCTCTCTCTGGGCACTCACTTGCTGTGGGGAAGGGAGGGGCGCAGAACCTGCAGGTAAAGTGATTTCAGTGCTTGCGGGTGGGCTGGAGTCTGGAGGCGCAGCTCCAGGGAGTGTGTGAGGCCTTCAGCTGAGCTGGCTAGAGAAGAGGGTCACGTGGAGGGCCTGCCCCAAGCTCTCCCTGGCCTGTCACCCCAGGTCTCACAATCCCAGTCCTGGGGGCAGATTTGAGTCTGCTGCTTCCTCCAACCACCAACCTCCACCTCCCTCCTTGAGACTTGCTTCTCTTCAACAGGGGCACGGGGTCCCCCACCTGGAGGGAACCCTGCCTCCTTCCAGGCCGGGGGGCTGCCCCGCAGCGGCCAGCGCAGGGGCCATCAGCGCCATTGGCCTGGAAAACCAGTGTGAAGAATGGAAGGACGCTGGGTGTCAGCAGGGCTGGGGGTGCTGCTACAGTAGGGCTGGTGGGGGCGGGGGCAGCCTCAGAGGGACAGTGACAATCTGAGGGAGGTGTCGGCTCTCAGCCTAGGCCCCCTGCCCACTGTCCTCCAAGGCAGGGGCCCATGACTAGGCTGCTGCCATCAGTCCAGGCCATGCTCGGCTTCCCGGGGAAGCCAGGCCCAGAGAGTTTAGTGTTTCTTTGGATGGCTCAAGTCTTGCTCTGCAGACAGGAGACAGAAGTGAGGCCCTAAGCCTGCAGGTGCAGTGACAGGGCAGGTGGCGGCCCCACTCCCTTCTGCTCCTGGGGAAAGGTGTGCAGAAGCAGAGGTCCCGTTCTATGCTGCTGGTGAAATAATACAAACTGTTTCACAGGATGAGAAAGAGGGACAGACACAGGGCTGGGGACAGAGAAGGGGAGGGCAAGGGATGAAGGAAGAAGGACACCTATAGAGAAAGGGAAAAAAAGAACAAGGGAAATTAGACGAGAAAGAGGAACTGAGGAAGAGAGAGACCAGGAAGACAGGCAGAGGCGGGCGAGGAAGGAGCACAGGGAGCAGAGGCCACGCGAGACTGCGTGCGAGTCCGTGGTTCTGCTGCTCCAGGCCGGGCTGCGTGCTCGTGGGCTGGTCAACGGAAAAGTCACATGGGCCCCCCCACGCTTGCCCTGCGGGAGCCCGCAGGGCGGCCTGGGCGCCGCCCCTCAGTACATGTCCTTGTAGATCTCCTGGAGCAGCGGGTGCAGCGAGGTCTCCGTCTCCGTTTTCTTGATGCGCTGCATCATCTGGGCGTGCTCGGTGACCAGCTGCCGCAGGTCCGCCATCTTCTGCAGCAGCTTGGGGAAGAGGTACTGGGCGTCGGGGTGGTTGGCCTGCAGGTGGAACTCGAGCGCTCGCAGGATGGTGTCCTGGATGGCCTCCACCTGTGGCACGTTCATGAGGCCCGGCCGGTCTGCGGGGACACGGGTGCGTGAGGGGCTCAGGGAGGCAGAGGAGCGCCCCTCCCCCACCCTGCATGGTGACTTGGCCCAGGGGACAGCAGGCCTCCTCAGCTGTGACAGAGCAAGCCCTGTCCTGTCAGCGATGGCTCCACAGTGTTCTGGTCCCTTTGCCCCTGGTCTGGGCCCACTTTTTTTTTATTTTTTGAGACAGAGTCTCACTTTGTTGCCCAGACTAGAGTGAGTGCCGTGGCATCAGCCTAGCTCACAGCAACCTCAGACTCCTGGGCTCAAGCGATCCTCCTGTCTCAGCCTCCCGAGTAGCTGGGACTACAGGCACGCACCACCATGCCCAGCTAATTTTTTCTATATATGTTAGTTGGCCAATTAATTTCTTTCTATTTATGGTAGAGACGGGGTCTCGCTCTTGCTCAGGCTGGTTTTGAACTCCTGACCTCGAGCAATCCGCCCGCCTGGGCCTCCCAGAGAGCTAGGATTACAGGCGTGAGCCGCCGCGCCCGGCCTGGGCCCACTTCTGTTTTTGCCAGTAGTTTATTCCCCTGAGTGGGCAGCAGAGTATTGTAGTTGAGAGACTGGATGCCTGGACTCGAATCCTGTGCCTGCCACAGACTACGGTGAGGCTACGGCAGCCACGGGGCTTCTCTGGGCTCCAGCCTCCTCATCTGCAAAATGGGGATAGTAAAAGCACCTCTTCTACAAGGTGGTTGTGAGGATCAAGTGAGTTACAAGCAATGAAAAGGAACTAGAACAGTCCCTGTGCCACTGTTAGTTAGCATGGTTATTATATTGTGTCAGAACCTGAAAAATGTATGGAAAATATTGAAAATTTCTCTACTGCTCAGAGACAGCCCCCTCTAGAGGGCCCATTTCTTTGCAGTGTTTTTCTATCGCTACCTCCATCTGCTGAGCGAATGAGATGGAGCTGATCCTGCGTGTTCAGGCAGTTCCTTGCGTGTGCCACTGCCGGCACCACGTGGACACGTCCTCATGCTGTCTGAAGTGTGGCCTGCTGCCCTGCAGCGAGGCCAGCCCCCAGGGGGGCCGGCTGTGTGGGGCTGGCCCACCTGCCCTCCCCCACTCACCTCCGCACAGAATGATGGCTGCGATGAACAGGGCCAGGTCACTGTCGTCCAGTTCCAGGGCATTGAACTTGACAGCAAACTCGAACTTGGGCTCAATAATGTCACTGAAGGGCTTGCGGAGGCTTCGCAGGAACTCACGAGTGACAAAGCCACTGCCATTGGCCACCAGCAGCCCATCCTTGTTGACGATGGAGGCCAGCATGGCAAAGATGGCCTCGTGCACGCCGTACTTGAGAAGGGTCACCTGGTCGTTGAGGAAGAGGCTGCTGAAGCTGGGGATGCTCTTGGCGAACTCGGTGAGCTCCCGCACGGTCTCCACCGTGGTGCACTGGCAGCGGTAGAAGACGTGCACGCTGATCTCCTTGTAGGGCGGCAGGCCGTTCACCAGCTGCTTCCACACAAGGCCCTTCTCTGCCTGCCACAATGTCTCGATGTCGTGGATCACAAAGGGCTGAAAATCAGGCCCTGTTAGAGGCGAGGCCGCAGGGGACCCCACCCTGTGCTCCCCACAGCTCCTGCCTGTACCGTGAAGGCAGGGAAGGGAGGCCAGGCTCTCCCTGGAGTCAGGCAGGCAGCAGCAGGGCCCAGAGCCCAGGATGCCATGAGGCCAAGCAGTGACACTCACCGCCGTGTGGCTGGCTTTGCCGGTGAGGATGCTGCGGGCCTTCTTTTTGGTCATGTTGAAGTTTTTCAGGTAGGCATTGTAGATGTGCTTGGAGAAGGCCTTCAGGTCAGCCACCTGGGGGTTGAGCTGGCTCCCCTCGCTTGCCGTCAGCCCCGCCACCAGCTTCCTCTTCTCAGCCTCCGGCATCCGGCCAAAACGGATGGCTGCACAGGGAGCAGGGACAGTCAAGGTGCCCAGGCAGGGGCCAGCACCTCTAAACTTCCCATCCCTCTACAGGTGCAGGGCAAAGGCGGACGTATCCTTCCTGAGCCCAGGGTCCTCAGAAGCACTAGAGTCAAAAAGGCGGGACTGTTGGGCTGGCCCCTCCAGAACGCAAGCTCCACGAGGGCACGATTGTGTCTGCCTGGTTCACAGTGCCCAGCCCACACGGCCCTAATTAAGTGACTGAGCTGTGCTGGCCGAGAGGCAGTGTGTGGAGGTTGGGATGACAGTATTGGGTGACAAAGGCTTATGCCCAAGTTCCACTCAGTAGCTTATTAGCCGCCTGGCTTTGGACAGGCTATTTCACCTTTCTTTTTTAATCAGAAAAATGAGGCTAAAATTCCTTAAAACTTACTGGGTTGTTGGAATAATGATATAAGAGTACTCACATAGTAAGTACTCAAAATTGTCATCAATAGTAAGAAAGCAGGGTATGAATGTGGCTTCTCTCAGCGTAGGAGTGAGGAGAAGGGTTCAGTTAGGCCTGGGATTCCTAGGAAATGCCTTGAAGCCACTCAAGGAATGGGGTCAGGGCAGATACAGACTGAAGGGACGGCTCAAACCCCAGACCTGCCAGTCCCCATTAGCCAGGAAGAGCCACAGATGAAGGGGGCTTGGGTCCTGTCACCCTCTAAGATACAAGACAGTCATGTCATCCCTGGGTAAAAGTCTGGCCAAGCAGCTACCCATCCATAGAAATAATTAAACAAGAGGCTCTTCCCTATTCTCTGGGTCCAACCCAGAGGGGTATGGGGTGGGGGGTGGGCTTTGCAATATCTCACCCTAGCGGTCTCAAGACTAGACTCTGGAAGGCCTGGAGCTCAGGGCAGAGGAGGCTCTGTCCCCTGGGAGTGGCTGGCCTCTAAGATAAACTCCTGCCTAGCTCCTGGCAACTGACTTGTGGTCACTTACGAGTGACTGCCCCAAGCCTGGGGCCCCCGGTGGATGCTGGGCAGTCTGAGGAAGTGGCAGGTCTTAGGCTCCAAGACCCAGATGGGCACAGTCAAGGGCAGATACCCAGGGCTTACTGGGTGCCAGGCGCCACTGTAAGGCTGCCCGCTCCGGGCTGCACTGGGTGCTCCCTGAACCTGCTTTCAGGCCACGTGAAGCCAGCACCCATGTGACTTGCCCTGGTCACTCTCACCATTGTGTGACATGCCCAGTGCCAGGCATTTCTGGAAGCGGCAGTACTGGCACTTGTTCCGGTTCTTCTTCTGGATCTTGCAGCTCCGCTCACACTTTTCGTACTCCAGCTTCATGCGGATCGTCCGCCGGAAGAAGCCCTGAGGGACGGAGGACAGGTGAGGAAAAAGGTTGAGAATCCTGCTCTGCCCGCTGAGTCATGCCCAAGGGTCTAATTATCACAAAGATGTAAAAATTCCCGAAATTTGGAAATAGTGGGAAATTTTGGGGAGGGGAGATGAAGAGGAAATGTAAATAACTCTAAAACTTCTAAAATAATTAAAATAATCTTTAAATTACTTTTTAAAAATGCCTAAAGAAGTCTTAAAGTTTATTAGTTTGGTAACATAAAACTATATCATAGTTAACTTGATTTATTCATAAATGTATTTGGTTCTGTGTATTTTCTAGGTGGTGGTTTAATAAAATAACTTGTGAAATTTTGATGGTGTGAAGTTAGGAGGAAGGACTTAGAAGGATCACTGGAAAAGGAAATGCCATGTTTCCTTTTCTCTCAAAGAGACCCCTTCAAGCCTTGAGACACAGAAGACTGACCTCAGGTAGGCAGATGGCTCAGCCCAAGAACCTTGTTATGTCTTGCCTGCCTTCTGGAGCCTGGTCCCCAGGGGGCGCCAGCCGCCCATAGAGCCCAAGTGAGTGCCTGAGTCAGCCCGGCAGGTGCCCAGCAGGGCAGGCCTGACAAGGGAACCCTCCTCTCCCCAAGGGCCCAGAGCTGAGGCCTGGAACAGGCTGAGGCCTGGAACAGGCTGGGGCCTGGCTGCCTCCTAGGCAGGAATGCTGCAGTGGGCACTGTCAGGGCCCCCGCCCTGGCTGGGCAAAGCCCTTGTGGCAGGTCAGTTCCCCACGTGACCATGACCCCCAGTGGCCAGCCCCGGCCCCCCCCCCCGACCATACCTTGCACCCCTCACATGCATGAACACCATAGTGGAAGCCTGATGCCTTGTCCCCGCACACCCGGCACTCCATGTTGAGGCTGCCACACGAGGCCCCGTCACAGCCCATCTGCAGCTGGTCCAGCAGCGAGGGTGGCGAGGAGCTCTGGGAGAGGTCTGCGGACACACGACGGAGGCCACTTAAGAGCTGTGTGGCCCCAGGGAGTCAACCTGTCTGAGGACCAGTTTCTTCACCTAGAATATGCGCTTAACGACAGCTTCTCTGGGAGGACAGGCAGAGGCTCCGAAGCATTTCAGGGCCCCACACACGGCAGATGCCCAACACACGGCAGCCATTACCGCCCGGGGCTGAACTCGGCGATGGGGAGGAGGGGCGGGGGGTGGCTGTGGGTTGGGAGGAGGGGGGCAAGAGGGCCGAAGCAGACAGAGAATCTCTGGACAGTCCTGGGAAACGGCTATCCTGGTTTCGAGGTTGCCGCTGCGTGAGCCCAAGGAGTTGTGTGAAATGCGTTTTGTGGCAATTGCAGAAGTGCAGACCTCTGCACCCCACCCCTGCAGGAGGCTGTTCTTGCATGGACTCCGGGAATTCGGCCAAGGAGCTCTCAAACAGCGCAAATCCCCCTGAAACTTCTTGCTTGAGTAGAAAGAATACGGGGTCGGTCATATTGACTGAGCATCACACTGAATTTCTCCACGTTTTTTCTATTAACTATTAGATGTTTGAACCATGGTGTTGAGAACGTCAGCAAGGAAAGCAGTTGGCTATGGCTGTGACCGCAGGACACACGTGCTGTCATGTGACTCAGAAAGCACTGCTAGGACTGCCTTCTGAATCTCTCCTTTGGATATTCAGAAATGTGCCCTTCCCCTTGGAAAGGGGCCCTGACTGAACCTTGGCTTCCTCGCTTCCAGTCCAGTGCCAGCCTCACGACCCACGTGCTGCCTGTCCTGCCTCTGCCGTGACGGCCTTCCGTCTCCGCACTCTTCTCTGATGACTGAGCAGGTGCCAAATCCCCAAGGCAGAGAATCAGCCGCTTCCAACAGGAGGGCACCTCAGGAGACCCGGGACACGGCAATGAACCCAGACCAGCACTTTCCCGGCCTGCTGAGCTACCTTCCTACAACACTGGCCAAATGACCTTGACTTCCCCACCACGGTAGTAACCACCACCCCTACTGACAAAAGTGCACCCTGTCCCTCCCCCACTTTTCCCTCCCTGTTCCTCCTGGTCCCCTTTGGGTCACAGGAGTAGCAGCAGGAAACCTCCCTTCGCCATCCTGGCCACAGGAGGCCGGAGGCACAAGTAACACCCGACTGCGGCAGACGACCCAGGGGGCTATTCCCCTCCTGGCTGGCGAGTTTAGGGGTGATTCAAGTCCCTGGTTCCTAAAACATCCTGTCCCGGCGCCTTAGCTCCCAACTTCAGTCCTTCCAGGGAGTAAATCTGGCCCCCTTGGCCCACAGACGGCGAGGGTAGGCTCCCTAGATCTCCTGGGCCTGGCGGGGAAAGCTGTGCCCTGGAAGGTGAAGCCACTGTGGCCTTCTCAGTAGCCTTTGTCACCACCTGACATACCCCACGAGTGTGTCTGCACATTGCTGGGCGCCATCTACTAGACGTAAGAGCCACAAGGGCAGGAACAGTGTCCAGCAGGCACGGCTGTGGTCCGGCAGGGGGAACTGTGCGGGGTACTGCGCGCGGCAGGCACGCACCGGCTCTGCACAATCAGCAGTCGGCAAGCTGCCGGGTGTCCTGGCCTCAGCACCAACCAGCCGGTGGGGCTGGGCAGGACTCCTGGAGGCATTATAACAGGGACAATAAAACTCCCAGCACCAGCTGTTGGGAGAAGATGAGATACCCTGCAACAGAAACCCTTTGTGGAGGCTTGCACAGATGCTGGGGCGGGGGTTTCCTGCACTTCCTCCTTCAGCCCCAGCAGTCTGTGCGCATGTTCACTTCACGGCACGTCTGGTAATCAGTGTTGTTTTTGTGGCTTGCACGCCTGCTTCCTCTGCTAGACTCAGCATATCTCAGCTCACGTTCCCCTTGGATCTCGGAGCCCACCACCACCGCTGACTACGTGACCAGTCACCTCGGAATGTTCGCATTCCCTGGTGGTGTGTTCCTTGTTTTCCCTCACGGCCCTGGAAGGTCGGCAGGTGTCTGGTCACTTGGTTGCTGCTGGTGCTGCACGTGGCAATGCCAGCCTCTCTGTTCATTCAACAGACGCTTGATGAGCACCTGCCACGTGCGGGACAGGACCTAGACTCTGCCCTCAAACAGCTAAGAAAGAAATAAGAAAACCAGAACGCAAGATAGAAGTGGCAACGCCAGGGCAGGGGCAAGTAAGCGGCGCAGGGTTTTAGAAGGAGCCATCCCCCGTGTGAGCGGCTGCCAGGGAAGGTGACCGACTCTCTCTCTCTGGGCTTAAAGAAAGGTGAGCACTCTGGATGACTTCCAAGTTGGCTTCCAGGTGCTTAGAAACAGCAGGCACAGTGGGTGAGAACATGACCAAGGAGCTACGTGGCCCAAGTTCAAATCCCAGCTCCACCACGTGCTAGCTAGTGGTCCAGCGGTAACGGCCATGTGTCCTGTGCGCAAATCCTAGCTCTGGGCTTCAGCTTCCCCCTCTGTAAAATGGAGATGGTAACAGTATCTCAGAGAAAGTCATGGCGAAAGGCAGAGGAGTCAATACAGAGAGAGCTCTCCCAACTTGGAAGTGCAGTATAAACATTAGCTGTTAGGATGATGCTTATTAGGAAGCCGCAATTCTGCAGTTTCCCAGCCGTGTGCCCCATGGGCAGGTACCGTGCGTCTCCTGGTCCTGGCTATGCCCCCGTCTTCCCCAGGGCCTCACGGAGACCCAGTGTGGTGGGTGTCTGTGCGTGTGAGGCCAGGAGAGCCCCTAGAACAACACCTACTCTCTTCTCGCCTCTACTGTCCTGCTGCCGACCCACGGCCCAGGTGTGCTGGGACCTCTGGAAGCCCTGGGAAAAAGCCGGGATGCCTGAACCCCACTGGCCACTCAAGGTACAGCGCTCCGGACCGTGAAGAGAGACTTAGGGCCAGTGTCCCAGAGGGGTCCCGGTTGGGGATAAGTGGCTAAGTGGGCTGGGGAGAAACAGGCCCAGGGCAGGAAGGGCCATCGGGGGCAGTCCTGCCCTCAGGTGGTAAACAGGCGTAAGCTGCCTAACTCGGAGCATCCAGGGAGGCGTCTGCGGGGACCCACAGTGGCAGGGTAATAGGGAAAGTGCATCCCTGCCCTACTGAGAGCAGTAAGAAACCACAAATAACTGACACACAGGCAGACAGAGGCAGGAGAGGCGTGGGGCTGGGCTGGGGCAGGAGAGTACGTGTCCTGCAGGGAGCTTTTAGGTGGGGTGTGTGTTGGGGATACTGACGTGGCAGTAGTTTGTGGGTGGATTTTCCAAAGATAAAGGTTCTGTTTCTTGCTGGCTGACCACTCAGCTTAAGGGTTTATCCTCAAATCCCATCACAACCTACCCAAAAGTAATGATGGCAGCATTCTCCCCATTCTAGGCACCAGATTCTGAAGGTGCCGTGCCCTCCCCCATGATCCCATGGTCAGAGGGGGGCAAGTAAGAGTCTCGATCAAGTGGGAGGCTGGGGTTCCAGGAGGCCGTTCCCGCCAGCGTGGCTGCTCTCCCTGCAGCCCGGTGCAGGGCCTCTCTCCAAGCCTGAACCTTCCCCCTCTGCCACTGCTCTCAAGAAATGCACCTGCTCACATGGCCATCCTCCGGGCCCTGAGCCCTGCTTCTCAATGTCCTCTTGAACCTCACCCTGCTGGCCTGCCCACCTGACCTCCAAACATCTCCCAAGGGCCTCCCTTCACCAGGAAGGGAAGGGGAAAGAGTCAGCATTTATCAGGCCCCTACTGAATGCCAAGTATGTCAGTGTCTTTTTATGTGTATCATTTCATTATCACCTTAGAAGACAGTGATCACCACCATCTGAAGGAAACTGAGGCTCGGTGAGGTTAACGGGTCCACCCAAGGTCACCTGCTTAACACCCGGTGGGACTGGAACTTGCAGCTAAACCAGGCTTCATGTTTGTCCAATAACACTTTCTGTTTACTGCATGCTGACTGCACGCTGGGCACTGCTCCTGGCACTTTACATCCACTGATCTCACGTAAACCTCAAAACAAGCCTTCAAGGAGGTCTTCAATTCCCTCACAGGTGAGGAAGCTGAGGCTCAGAAGGGTAAGTAACTTTTTTTTTTTTTTTTGAGACAGAGTCTCGCTTTGTTGCCCAGGCTAGAGTGAGTGCCATGGTGTCAGCCTAGCTCACAGCAACCTCAAACTCCTGGGCTCAAGCGATCCTCCTGCCTCAGCCTCCAGAGTAGCTGGGACTACAGGCATGTGCCACCATGCCCGGCTAATTGTTTCTATATATATTAGTTGGCCAATTAATTTCTTTCTATTTATAGTAGAGACGGGGTCTCGCTCTTGCTCAGGCTGGTTTCGAACTCCTGACCTTGAGCAATCCGCCCGCCTCAGCCTCCCAGAGAGCTAGGATTACAGGCGTGAGCCACCTCGCCCGGCCTGAAGCTGAGCTCTTAACCACCATGCTCTACTGCTACCCATATATACATAATACATGCTCATTACTAATCAATAACATTATTATGATAAACAACAACATGACACAGTCACTGCTAAGGAGAACCCTGCGTCATCATCCGAATGTTTGGACTTCGTGTAAACACCAGCACTGTCACCCAGAGAGTTAAGTATCAGTTTCACCATCTTTGATTACAAGTTCAGCAAATAGACACTATTGACCCTTCTTACATAATTTATGTATGGTCAAGAGCTCTCTGCATATCTAGCCTCCACGCTGGAGGTCTGTGGTTGTCATGGCTGTGGGGGCAGCCGGGAGGGGCCAGACCCGTCTATTTGCTGGCAGAGCCCACCAGCAAACCGGCACCCTAAAGCTTCTGAAGTCAGGGCGAATTGTGCAGGGATCTGGGGCTGGGTAGCCGAGCAGCCTCCTTTCTTCTGCTGTCCTGTTCCCTTGGACCATGGGCTCCAAGGTCAGGCAATAGCCTTGTCCAGCACTGAACAGCGACCCTGGCCTGGTGCCGGGCCCAGCCTGGATGCTCCCCAAGTGCTCACCAAGTGAGAGGCGGCGCTGAGGCCAGGAGGGACCCTGTATCTTCCTCCTTCTCAGGTGTGATTGGGATGGCTGGCATTTAAGCAGGAGGGAATGAGGACAGGATGGGGTGTGAGCCCTGGCTCCAGCTGCCCCTGCCCCTTTAACCGACCGGGGGGCCTCAGGCAAATGAGTTTCTATCACCTCGGTTCACCAGGTGCGGAGTGCTAATGGTAGGGCCTGCTTGGGCGCGTGTGGGTGAGGAGGAGGTGCTTGGCACAGGCGGTGCGGAACTGCGGGAGGCCAGAGGTGCAGCGACTGTGGAGCCTTCTTGCTGCTTCAGGGCTCGAGGCTGTACCTGTCCTTGTGGGTCCCTGAGTAGACTCTGGAGGCCAAAGTCGCAGCTCATGGGGGTGAGGCAGGGAGGTGCTGAGATCTGTGGTGTGTTAGATACTGTCATTGACTCTCACCTGTCTGGCCCCAAGGTGGGCAGGACACAGCCTTTAAAGATGAGGAAGGAGACTGAGATTCGGAGAAGTGAAGGCACAGGCGAGGGCCACGACTCGTAACAGAGGACCTGGGGTTCCCGCCCTGGTGTGTGTGACCTCAAAGCCTCTGCCCCCAACACAGGATGAGGCTCTGTCCCCAGAGCCCCTCACCTGCCAGCCCCCCCCCAACTTTTTTTTTTTTTTTGAGACAGAGTCTCACTTTGTTGCCCAGGCTAGAGTGAGTGCGTGGCATCAGCCTAGCTCACAGTAACCTCAAACTCCTGGGCTCAAGCGATCTTCCTGCCTCAGCCTCCCGAGTAGCTGGGACTACAGGCATGCGTCACCATGCCTGGCTGATTTTTTCTATATATATTAGTTGGCCAATTAATTTCTTTCTATTTATAGTAGAGACAGGGTCTTGCTCAGGCTGGTTTCGAACTCCTCACCTCGAGCAATCCGCCCACCTCGGCCTCCCAGAGTGCTAGGATTATAGGCATGAGCCACTGTGCCCAGCCCCCCCCAAACTATTTGTAAAAATATTAATTTTAACCTTTAAGAAAAAGTAGCACAGTTGCCTTTTAATACATTGACTGCCACACTAGAAAATAATTTTTTTTCCTTGGGGCCACAGTGTTTTATTATGAAAATAGAATGAAAACCTCAAAAACAAAACAATCCTTTCCAACTTAGTGGAAAATTTGTTATTTTTTTGTTTTCTGTGCATGAGTTACATGCAAGTTGAAAAACAGTCCTTGCGGCTCCCAAGGTGAAGAGACATGTGAGTTACATATGCTTCTTGGGGCCTCCATTTCACCCATTTACTGATAAACGGAATCTATTAAACACCACCTCACACACGGCACTGTGTGAGTGGTTAGACAAATTCTGCCCTGGACATCCCCACTCCCATGCCCTAAAGTCCACAGTAAAGCTGCCTGAGGTGTCATCGCCACGCCTGCCTCACCTGCCTTTGCTCCCGGCACCTCACCTTGGCCCGCACGTGACAGCAGTGCTCTTTGGGCATACAGCACTGGCCCCGACAAGGGGTGTGTAGGGAACCCCAGAACAGGACAGTGCTCTGCAGGCAAATTCTATCTGCCTAGGCCCAGATGTGCGGTTGAGGGCGGCCAGGGCAGGCGGTGTGGACTTCTTTCCCCCACTCATTCTGTTCTGCCATCCTGTGACATCTCATGCTCATTCTTAGAACCCAGGTGTCTTCCCCCCTACTTTCTAACCCTCCTTGCCTTCCTCAGGTTCAGAACAGTATGTGATACTAGCACAGTCAATTATCACTCCTGTAGCCATTCCTCTCTGCTGAGCCACCAGCCTACAGGGGGTAGCTTATTCTGGGGATGGGGACACCTTCGCTTTGGCCCTGGATCACACCAAGCCTACTGCAGTCACTCCTGGGTGTCTCAGTGGGATCAGATGGACTGGATGGATGGCTTTTCCTCCCCCTATACCACCCTTTTTCCTGAAGAGGAAGAACCCTGCAAAATCCCAGGCCTTGCTTGGCAGGTTCGAGGTGATATGGCTCAAGGACTCATTCAGGCCCCTCTCAGCTGCAGACCCAGGCAGGAGCCACGCTGCCTCCACATCCTCCGTCCTGCCTTAACTCGGATGCCACTGCCTCCTTCCGCCCTGTGCAGACACAGGGCTCCAGAGCCTGTCTCGCCCTGAATCACCACCTGTGGCCTGCGTCTCCTTCAGCTGAGACCAGCAGCAAGATCAGGGTGTGTGCTCCCGGCAGTTCATCCTCTTGTGACCCTGAGGTCCCTGGAAGGGAGCAAGGATCAGCAGACGTGCTGGCCCTACGGCCCCAGGTTTGGAGAGAAGCGGAGGGAGAAGGGGAGAAGCTGAGTGGATGGACGGAGAGCAGGGAAGGGCAGCATTAGCAGCATGAAAAGCCGGGGCGGGGGGGGGGGCATTCTAGGTGCCCCGAAGGTGGACACAGCAGTGCGGGTACCAGAGAGAGCTGTCTGCGCTGCTGCTGACAGCAGACAAAGTAGAGCCGGAAAGTGAGACAGGAGAAGCTAAAGCTATCTGGCTGCACAAAAGTAATATTAATATTAATTTTATTCATACTAACTAGCATTTTTACCTAATTACAATGCAGCTCAATAATGACGTGTATAATTGACACCAGATCAATTGAGCTGTGTGTTTCAACTGCCCTAACAATCGCAGGTGCAGCTGACCTTTCCAGTGTGCTGTCGGTGCCTTGTGATAGCAGCGCGGCAACCACAATGATGAAGACAACATGCATTCCAAATGCCCGCTCATTTACTTCTCACGACGCCCACATCCACGTCACCTACTGTTCCAGTCTGCGTTACGGAAAGAAGAGGTGCAACTTGCCCAAGGCCCTGCAGCTGGTGAGGGGCTGCTGGCTCCAGTCCTTAACCAGTCTGCACCCCACATGCTGCGGCTGGCAGAAGGGCAGGATCCCAGTTCCACCCAGCTCTGCCTCCTCTGCCCCAGGTAACTGCCAGCCCCTCCTCACCGGTGTAGCTGCTGGAAGGAAGTGTATGCTCTGGTCCCCCGTTGAGCTCTGGGGCTCCTTCTGCCTCTGCCACTTCCTCTTTCTCCTCCTCTTCCCGGACCTCAGGGGCCTCCTCCTGTGGCTGCTCCATGGCTGATCTCCCCTCGGTGCCACGCCTGCAGGCCCGGTCATAGCTCTGGCATCATCTGGGTCTGGACGCAGAGGGACCTCTACAGGGTGGTTCCAATCAGCCTGGACAGAGGGAAGACAGGAAGAGGTTGGGGGAGGCAGTACAAGGGAGAGAGGGTGGCAGGAGTGGGGCACGCTTGGGGGCTGTCACCATGGAGGGGGGTTCTCTTGCGCCTTTCTCAGTCCCTGCTGTGCTAGTCCATTGTCCCTTCTCCTTGCATTGCAAATCACCTGCCCTTCCGCCTATGCCCACCTGGCTCTTGTGATGGGTTTGTGGGGTTCAGAGCAGGCTCCATTAGCCAGGCAGGGTGACACACTGCTGTCACCTTTCCCTGCCTCCTCTGCTGCAGCCTGTCCTTTGAGCCTCCCTGAGTCTCCAGGAGCCAGGTCAGAATGACTGGAGTGGCTTTTCCCAACTCTCCAGCCCCCCTGGAGACTCAAATATGCACCAGACCTCCCAACTTCCACCCTGCCCTGACCAGCACAGCTCTCCTGAGCGACTGTTCTTGAAGAGGGTGGGTCCCATCCTTCCTGTGTTGGGTATGGGGGAAAAAAAAAAAAAGACATGAACCCCTGCTGTGCTTGGCTCACACTGACAGGAGATCTGCAATCAACGGCAGAGCTATCAGGCAAGGGGAGATGTACTCTGTCCTGGAATCTTCCAAGGTGGGTCACTGGGTGGTGACCCATGTCCATATCATATGGGGGAGGCAGTTCCAACCTCCAGCGAGTACATCGTTGTCCACAAATGCCACAGTCGGAGATGGAAGATCACGAGGTGCTGTGGGAAACAGCGGGGAGATGCCCGCAGCAGTGCCAGCCTTGTGGAAGGACTGGGAAGGGTTGTGGAAGAAAAGGTCTGCCTTAGGGTATCTGAGCGTCTATTGGACGCCTTCTCTTGGATGTCCCACAGGCAGCTCAAACTCAAGCTGCCCAACAAAACCCAGCATCTTCTCCCAAAGGTGCTCTTCCTCTGGTAATCCCTACTCCATGACCCCCACCACCCATGCACCCACTCCCAAAGCCTGGGAGTGATGAGACTCCTTCCTCTCTCCCCCTTCTCTAGGGCTGCCAACTTGGCCGGATGCTGGAATCACTGGGTTTTAAAAAAAAATACAGACATCTGGGCCCATCCCCACAGAGTCTCATTTGATTGGTTTGGGGAGCAGCTTGGGCACTGGGGTTTTTATTTTTTAATTCCCCTGGTGACTGCAAGGTGCACCCAAGCTTGAGAACCACTGCTCCACAGCAAAGCGATTTTCAGCTGGTAGCAAATCATTCCTTCTCAACATGTCTTAACTCTATCGATTCCCTTCCATCCTAGTCGGTTTCCTAAAGGCAGTTTGGAAATTTAGCCCTAGAGTCTAAGAGATAGAAAGCTGGGAATCTGTAGATTTGGGAGGAATTCTTGTGGATGTGATAGCCACAGGAAGGGATGCAGTTCACTGAAGGAGAGAGCAACATGTCAAAGGAGGAAAATAAATCATCTGGGAGCCAGGTGCCATAGCATGTGCCTATAATCCCAGTTACTTGGGAGGCTGAGGCGGGAGGATCTCTTGAGGCCAGGAATTTGAGGCGGGAGGATCTCTTGAGGCCAGGAATTTGAGGCTGTAGTGAGCTATGATTGTGCCACTGTACTTTAAGCCTGGGTGATAGAGCAAGACCCTGTCTCATTAAAAAAAATGTAGTAAGTTTGATTATATAAAAATATAATCTTTCTATATGGTAAGAACCATAAGAAAAAAAGACAAGCTGAGAAAAATATTTGCAACTCTCATCAGACAATTTAGGGCTAATTTCCCTAACATTGTTTCTACAAATTAATAAGACTAGCAATCCAATAGAAAAACGGGCCCCTGATATGAACAGTTCATAGAAAAGGTATAAATTTGTCTCCCTCTTTTTTTTTTGAGACAGAGTCTCGCTTTGTTGCCTAGGCTAGACTAGAGTGAGTGCCATGGTGTCAGCCTAGCTCACAGCAACCTCAAACTCCTGGGCTCAAGCAATCCTCCTGCAGGCATGCGCCACCATGCCCGGCTAATTTTTTTTCTATATATATTAGTTGGCCAATTAATTTCTTCCTATTAAAAAGAGAAAGAGTAGAGACGGGATCTTGCTCTTGTTCACGCTAGTTTCGAACTCCTGACCTTGAGCAATCCGCCCGCCTCGGCCTCCCAAAGAACTAGGATTACAGGCGTGAGCCACCGCGCCCGGCTAAATTCGTCTCTTAAACATATAAAAAGATGTTTAACATCACTCATAAAAAAGAAATACAAAGTAAAACAACATTGAAATACCTTTTTATAATCAGATTAAAAACAGATGCTAGCTAACACTTTGTTGCTGAGCATGTAGAGAAACATATTCTCACACATCCCTGGTAGGAAGGTAAACTGGCACAACCCCTACAGAGGGAAATCTGGCCGATCTATCTAAATTACAAGTGCGCATGTCCTTTGACCCAAAATACAACTTCTAGGTTGTATCCTACATCTGTACTGCCACACAAGCAAAATGATGAAGTGTTAGTACAAGGTTATTAATTACAGTATTATTTGACTATAAGAGATGGGGAACAAGCTAAATGTCTATTAACAGGGGGCTTTTAAAATAAATATATGGCAACATGGAATTGTACATAGCAACAGAGAAGAATGAAGTTGTTTACAGACTGATAGAAGTACCTCCAAGATGTATTGATAAGTGAAGAGAACTATTTGCAGAATGAAGAGCTAAAAAGACAAACCGAAGCTGTATTTATTTGCCTGTGCATGTGTCAGACAGCTCTGGAAGGCCACAGAGAACCTGGGGACATCAGCTGCCTCTGAGGAGGGGACTGAGCATATGGTCACTACGGGAGAGAGATTATTTTAACTGTGTCTTTTATACTTTTTAAAAGTTGAGCTATAGGGATGTTACCTCTTCTAAAAATGAGTTCAATTGGAATAAGATAAAAAGCAAAATTTACAAACAATAATGTGGAAGATAAGAGGGAGTGATCAGTGTTCAATTGTTTAGGTCCTTTTATTTTTCAGAAGACGGCCTGAGATGCTAACTAACTTTATGCAGTTCAGTCGAATACGCATACGGAAAAAATGCAAAGGTAACGACTAAGACACCATAAGCAGAATGTGTAATTTCCAAATTATTACAGTAGGGTGGGGACACTTAGGGAAGGCCACGCAAAACCCGAGCTTCCTGACCGGGAACGCCGCAGAGCCAGGAGAGCAGACTACAAAGATGTGGCTAAATGCAACGCGGGTCCCAGACTGGACCCCGCAGCAGAACAGAGGACGGTCGTGGAAACGCTGGTAAGTTCCGAACGGTCTGTTTGGCTTAGTGATAGCATGTGCCACCGTTCACTTACGTCAGGTGTAAACGCTAGCTGGGCAAAGGGTGTGTGGGGACTCTGTACGAGCTCTGCGACTTTCCTGTAACATCGATCTTTTTTCAAAAGAGTCTAAAAAACAAAGCTTAAACAAATCTGGCTTTCTGGCTTCTTTTGAAAATTGGGCAGACTGGGCCCTGGCAGCCCCAGAGCCGAGCAATGGCCATCCACTCATGACCACTGCCACCATCTCCGCTACCGGTTGTCCCTCCCCAGGCCACTTCACTCATTTACACTGCACTGCAGGGATTTGAGAGTGTGAGTATAAATCAGTTCCTCAAGGATCAATCCCTGACCGCTCACCCGAGTGCTGAACTTGGGAATAACCGGGCGCAGAGCACAGGACATGGTCAGAGGCGCCGTCCTGCGACAGCTGTCTCTCCCGGTCTCTCCAGTTCCGTTCCCTTCCTCCTCACTGGGTCCTAGTCTTCTTCGGATTAGCAATGTGCCTAGCTAACACTCAAGTTCCCAAGCTCTCTCGCAGCTACGGTGTTTGTGTGGCATAATTCTGACCAACAATATGTGAATAGAAATCTGCAGAGAGGGGCTTCTGAAAAAGCTATTCTTTCCTATTGAGAGAGACGAACTTCACCCGTCCTGTCTCCCTACCAGGAACAGGAATACTATGCCTAGAGGTGTAGCAAGCAGCTACCTTCGTTGCATGGGAAGACAGAGTTAGAAGGAGTTGCTGGACTAGCTTGGAATGCCTACCTCTAGACTACTCGTTAGGTGAAAAAGTTAAACTGTCTGCCAGATTTCTGTTGCATGCAATTCAACAGAATCCTAACTGAAACAGGAGATATAAAGACGCTTAGCTAAAGAGGAGAGTGGGCAACATTACTGGAAAAAGGACCTTGCGATCACCAAGAGCAGTCTGTGACTGTTGTAGCATCAGTAAGCGACAACAAGTACCTGAGACGCTACTGAAAAGCCGGCAGGTGGAGGGGGCAGGGGCAGGGGCAGGTGAGAGACCCTCCTCAACCGGGCCTATGGCTGAGGGGCCACAAGAGGCTTCCAAGGAGCAGTGCATGGGCAGCACTGGTGACAAGGGTCGGACGACAAGACTCTCAGGAACCATGGCACAGTGGGGCACTGGCTGGGTGGGTGGGGTGAGGCTGATGAGAACAAACTGGTTTTGGGTCCATGCAGCCTGGGTGTTGGCGGACATGGGGTAAATGCACACTAGGCCGAACCCAAAGGCTGTGGTGAGGAGAGACAGGGAGAGGGAGACATGAAGGTGTGTGGTCCCCCAGCAGGTAGTGACAGGGGAGGAGACACCACAAAACTGCCTTGTATACATATCGACAGGGTATTTCCTCGCATATCTCCTCACCCTCTCATCCTCTGACTGAGGCTGAGGAGGAAGGACAGAGTTCAGGGCATTTCCTCGAATATCTCCTCACCCTCTCATCCTGAGTGACCCCGAGGAGAATGAGTTCAGTCGTGACTGAACCCGCCGGGCGGGGTCGGTGAGTGCCCATGACTGGGCGCCCACCACGTACCAGGCGCCTGCCGGGCAGGACAAGCTCCGGCTCAGTCCTCCTAAGCCCCCACAGCAGGCGAGGGCAGGGACACGCCCGAGGACGCTGACAGGGCGTCTCTCAGACAACGTGCCACAGGGTGAAGCGGAGGCTAGCGCTTCGGACGCACAGCCAGGTCGGAGCCTGGCCGGGCC